TAGAATATGTGGTGAAACTTAAAATTCATAAGAGGTGTGCATGCTTCTTTTTTTCTATCCGCAGACATTTTTAGCTTTTTTCCTTATGACCCATAGAGGAATAATGTCATGCAGCTGTAGAGCAAGAGATCTGCAAAATACTAAACATAGTTCTTAAACCGCCATTACTATGCCATTACACCTTGGCATTTACTGGGGCATTTCTCGACCACATTTTGCATGGCGCACACGATATTCCTCACGTAATCAAAAGGAAGGCATATTGAGGGAAAGCAGTCAAAGATCTAGCTCCACTCAATTAGCTTCAGCAAGATAATTAATCAGTTCAGTATGCACATCCAAGTCTCAGAGGCGTCTTTGAGATAATTGTTCTCATTGACTTGAATAATTATTTGTTTGCTGATTTAATTATTTTCACATTTGGAAAACAAATGAATGTGTGCTGGTACATACTTTGGATCTTTTGTTTTCTTTTGATGTATGCAGGTGAGTGTCAGACTAAAAGAATGACTGATGACTTCTTTTCGGAAAATATCTCTTGAGAAATTATCTGGAACCAAATTCAGACAATTGTGTTTTTTTAAACCATAACCTCGACGTGAAGACAGTCAATAAAACATAAAATGTTTCTTCCTCGTGGCATCAATACAAACTGCGATGAATCAAAGGCTAATATTTCTCAGACAGAAGGTCATCTCAGGGTTACAGATACAGAGTCTCCGTACACTGTCTGGCACGGTGAAAACAATTGTCAGAGTCCTCGGTTCACACCATTACAAGTGTGACTGAGACCTTGCGGCTACTGTAGCAAATAGCACAAATTATGGGGGCCATTTTAATAGCAGTCTCTACTATTTATCATGCTGTTTTAAATGTTTTGCTCATTTGTTTCCATTAAATATTTCATCTTCCCTTAAATATTCATTTAACTTCCTCTTTAAATTTTTTACCAGTCTCTTTTCGGTTGCTATCTTCTTGCCTCCCTTTTAGGCTTTGCAATCATAAATAATTATTCATCTACACCCAAAAAGAGATTGCATAAAACATGCACATGAATCCTTTTTGTCTTTTCTCATTAGTGATATACTTCGAGTAGCCTAAATACTTCCCGCTACCCCACTTATGGAAATTGGTCAGAGAACCTTCCTAATGATTCTGCTTCACAAATAGCATACAGCCTGCGTTTCTGATCCTAACGTTCACCCTATCCTTTCAGGATGAAAGGCGGGGTCTGCTGCAGATCCCAAGTTTGTGTATTACTTTTAAAAGGAGGACTAATCCTGACATATTATCCATCAGACAATGCTGTTTTAGATTTTACTGTTTAAACCCAATGCTGGGCCGCAGTGGACCAGCTGTACTCTGAATGCCTGCTTCTTGGTGCTTAACTGTATATTGAAGAAAGAGATTTACCAAAAAAAAAGGTGCAACACAAAACCACAACATTTCTCTTTCACTGGGTTTACTGTCTCATGTCCTTCTCATTTGATAGTATTTTATTTTCAAATTATTTAAATATTTCTCACTTTTGTTTGGATTTCCTAAAATATTTCCAGGATTCACTTAACTAAAAATAAAAAGTCATCACATCATTTATAAATATTTAAGATAAATTGGTATTATTGGTATTAAGGCAACATTTGTCTTAATTTGTTGGACAATTTCAACTTGCCTTATTAGCATGTAGTGCCATGTTGGAAGGTGAAAGGGAAGCATAAACTCTCAATTTGACTGGATTATCCTTTTGTGATGAGGCCTAATGATCCAGCAGAGTAAATAGCAATGTGTTAATTAGAAATTACAGTGAATGATCCGCTGCACACAGAGGAGGTATTAATCAGGCTGCATCGTTATATTATACTCAGAGTTGTCTTTTCTTTTCTTATAAGAATAAAATATCTAAAAAAAAATTATATTATTTCCAATGTAGCTGATATGCTCCTAAAGAGCCAACTGACCAGCAATGCGTGTAAATAAAACCACCCCTAGCTGTGACTGAAATTATATTATACTGAAATTAACTATTTAAAAAAAATATGTACATGCTGTTCAGTAACGTATTTATTCCTCAATTCGTATGTCTTTCCTAATTTGTTTTTAATTTGGAAAATATTATGGAAAGGGCCTTGTAATTGTGGCTGCAGCTGCCAGTTACTTCTGAATAAATCTCAGACTTTGTCCAATTTGGACGTTGCACAGTTCACAGCAGATTTTAATCAATAAAGGTGTCTACAGCATTTAAGTAAGCATTTGCCTCCACCTAGTGGTAAATGTTGGTTACTGAGGCTAGAGCTATATAGAGCTGTATATTTTTCAGTTCTTATAATTTTACATTTTTTAATGATGTTAACAAAAAAAAAACTATACTATCTTTTAATGATTTCTTTGAACTGATCTTTTCCCCAGGTGAACTGATTGTACAGCATGCATCTTTAATGACTTTAACAAACAAATACTGGGTGCACAAGTTTGAATTTAGTTTGGATTTTCTCTAATCCACACAGCCAAAAGTATAAACTCTTAGCATGTACATAAACTTCCTTTTTTTTAATTGTATTTTTAATTTATTTTTTAAATAAATGGTGCTGAAGGTTCCCATTAGTGATCACATTTGACTACAACTGCTAATTTCTCATCACCTCTCATCATCAAAAGGATTTCTTTGACAGCACTAATTGGATTGAGCAAAACTTTTTTAAAGGGAACGTCTAAGCAGCTCAGTGAAGAAGGAAAATTGTAGACTTGCATAAGCTGCAAAGGTCTTGGGGCAATTTCTAAACAACTGCAGATTCCAAGATCATCAGTTTAAACAAGTGCATTGTAGGTTATTTTCATGTGTCACTACTTTGCCAAAATCTGGAAGAAGTGTCCAAACTGTCACCCTCAGATAAGAAGAAATTGGTTAGGATGTTCAAGAACAACCCAAGAACCACCAAAACTCAAGCCTGTGAGGGTGCTGACCAAGAAGGGAGCCTCTGCTCCAAAATCAACACCTTACAAGCCAAATGCCTCTGGAGGAAAGTCTGGAGAAACACTATCTGACCAAAAAGACTGAGCTATGTGATCACAGTAAAGAGCTATGTTTGAGTTTCACAATAAAAGTGAAACTTTCAAACCTAATAACACTGAACCAGCTGTCAAACTTGGTGGTGGTATCATCATGTTCTAGGATTGTTTTGCTATCAGTAGTACTGGCACATTGCACAAAGTGGAAGAAATAATGCAAGACTGCCTCAAAATTCTCCAGCTTCATCTCAAATCAACAACTGTTGCAAAGCATGCATCAAAGCCGGTTTTGGAATGGATAAAGCAACTGGAATGACCTTTCCAAGGCTCTGACCAAAACTCTATTGAAAATTTGTGGACTATGTTTGAAAGCTGGGTCAGTGCCAGGAAACCAACCAATTTAAATGAACTCTTCTGCCAAGAAAGAGTAAAATAAATTCAAATTCAAACTTGTGCACCCAATTTTTGTTTTTTAAAGTCATTAAATATATGCACTGTATCATTCCACCCTGAAAGAAAGAAGAGTTCAAAGAAATCATTAAAGCCCCCAATTACCATGATATTCATGGCCATGATGAGTGTATGTAAACTTCTGACAACTCTGCATTCTTACATACAAAACTGAGTATTATTTTGTGCACACAAAATCTCTTGGCTGGAGGCTGCAGGTAGAAAGCTGATAAAACAGACAGGGCTTCTAAAATACCAATTCCATTGCATTATACACAGGACTGGTTCAGTTTACTTTGCAATAGTCAGCTACTGACCATAACTGACATTATTTCATGTAGTTAATAACTAAATCCATTAATTTAGAATTTCTTTGAAAGTAATTACTGCAAAGTTAGAGATGGATAAAGCATTACACAATAATGCTTTTCTTTTCGGTATTTCTATGCAAACAGGAGAACTTTGCATATTCAACATTTACAGTTAGTCAAACCAAATTAGCCTTGCAAAAACAGAGGCCTACTATACAAGACAGGCTACAAGTATGCACTTCAACAGCTTCATTATTTCATTGGTAATGATGAATAAAGTCATATTTTAAATAATTACTGAAAGGATAATGAAGTAATCACTGACAAAGTAACTATAATCCGATTACATATCTTTTTAAAAATGAATTGCGCTCAGAGTTACTTATTTGTGTAACCTTATTAGCTAAGAGATTATTTGCTGGATTAGGTATAAATGTTACTGCCCTAATGTAATGAAATATATCATAACACAAGCTCTTTTTACAGTGTTGCCTTTTCAGACACAGCGTCACTAATGCTTATTAAATAAAGTGAATAAAAAGAAAAAGTGAAAAAAAAATTACTTTGGCTTGACCAAATAACTAGCAGTTACTTCCCACTATAAGAGAGAACAGTGCGATTCCTAGTATAAACCATCAGACGAAATCAGCACGTTGCGGTTTTTAACCTTTAACCCACTGCTGCACGAATCACTAATGGATAGCAAGATGAAAGCAAAAAATACAATTTGGACAACAGAGCTGGATTAGAGACGTGTGTGAACCAGACTGCGTAGTCTCTACCTTGTCATTATATGTTTCCAGTATCAGCAGAGGGCAGTGAAGCTTGCTAGGGTAAAGACACTTCTGCGGCTAATGGAAGGGCCGTTGCTATTAGGGGTTGCCAGATTTGCTCGTTTTCCACGGACCAGAGCAGTCTGAGCGATTAACTCTTTAGGTATATTGCGTTGTTTTGTTTTTTATCATTATTATTACATACTTTATAATCTACATTGTGCTAACTTTATTTTATGTGGGACACTCAAAAAGAAGTTTCAGTTTTGAAAATATAATATCATTATGTTACTCGTGGTCACAGCAGGGCAGTAAAAAGAAAAGCTTACAGTGCACCAAAATGACATTTTAATGAAATTTGGCGTGCTTTTGTGTGCTTGCACACAAAAAAATAAATTCATAAATCACACGTGACCACAAACTGTGTCGTTTATGCCGAAGAATCTGCAGGAAACACAACTGGCAACTCCGCTGACCATAAACTGTATGCATATCTATGATAGAGCAAGGCGTTGTTAGCAAACGGTTAACTTCTGCCGTTTAGTTGCCGAGGTTCGTGTGTCGGCAAATTAAAAGGAAGTAGTCTTTGTATTTAACATGGGTCCAAGAAAAGACTGTCTTTACGTTGAGCTGTAGTTGATGACTGCCGAATTATTTCTTTTTTGGCTCATAGACAGCGTTAATTGGAATACAAAGCTTGTTTTGTCGTGGCTAAACTTTGCTAACCCCAAAGCTAGCCTGACTGAATGTGTTACGTCCACCGGAGAGCCCTCTGGACTTGGAGGAAGGAAGGAAGGAAACTGATAAGTAGGATAACTGCGCACCTATGCTTCTGCAAAGCTAGAACTCTTTAGGACTCTTGAGTTAACACCGTGACGCATTTAGAAAAGGTGACTATCTGTAGACTTCGCGTGATATTTGACACTGTTTGGTTAATGAGATATGCTGTTAGTTGGCATAGCTAGCTGCTAGCGCCACGTCTCTGGGCTAGCTGTGCAGCAGACGAGAGCTATCCTGTTAGCCACAAACTTCCAAAGAAGTTGTGTAAGTCAGATTTTTCTTTCTGGTTGAGTTGGTCAAGGAGCTGAACGGTGATTAAAGCGTTTCACGGTCAGACTCTTTAACTCTGATCTGCTGTACCACCGGGACAACCGAGAAACTTATGGCATCGGATGTGATTGAGAGTGAAGCGGTGCTGAAGGGTGTAAGTAATATGAATTTGAACAATAGCAGCCCAGATACTGTCACACCCAGGAGGACTCTTGAGGATTTGGGAAACAGACAGACTTCCAGCCCGTCATCATCCGGTGTATCGGGAGAAGGCGATGACGAGGAAACAGACGAATTGCAAAATAGCACAGCTTCTGCTGCAGAAAAGGGCGAAGAGGAGTTTCAAGACAGTCTAACCAAAACAAGCGGTACGCCACAAGAAAGGAAGACTCCAGACAATGTGCAGAAGCAACGAGGAAAAAGCTCTACCCCGGTGAGCGTTCCCCAGCCACGCTCACCAGCTGGAGCCACTGGAAGGTGTGTATTTAGACATTTTTGTGTTTTCCTTACATAGAAGCAAACTATGAGAAAATTAGCACAGATATGGTTTAGTCTCTCCCAGAGTCAAACGATAGTTTTGTCGGTGGTTCTAAAGTGGACCTAGGTGTACATGTGACTGTTTGTTTATCTGCCTTTGTATTGGTTATAGCGTAGTCTGACGGCCCTGTGTCAGTTGGGATAGGCTCCGGTGGCGTGCCAAAGAGCGTCGTATCATTGGCCTACAGTCTGTGAAATATATCTCAGACATGTCTCTCATGAATGAAGTCATTTTCAGCCAGAAAAGCATCTCTGTCATAGGGTAGAAACTGAAATCAGTTTTTGGAAGAGTGACTTTTATGTCCTTTTATTTATTCAGGTTGAAAGTCTCATTGACATTAAAAATTCATATTACATATTAAAAAAGAAACATGGAAAAATCAGGAGTCACTTTTTAGCACAACATCGATCCTCTGCAGAAAGATGTGTCAAAGCTATGGATTTCAGAATTGACAAGCCACCTATCCTTAACTATTATTGTCAATAAATATTGCTTACTGGGAGCCAATCACTCTTGTGTCTTCATTCCATTTCTCTTATTAGATATTTGTCAGTAATGTTTTTTTCATGCAGGAAAAAATAAGCAACTTGACATGGCGTGGATACTCTAAAACATTGTACTTATAGGTGTGTTTTTTATTTATTATTTTACATTTTTTGCAGTAATCTTGAAAATTGCTTGTCCAGGAGTTAACTTCCAAAAATGTCATCATTTAACCTCAGAGTTCATCTACGTCTTTGTAGCACTGGTACTTTGCTCTAAAAATAGTTGTTTTCAACATCTTGCCAGAAACTGTTGGAAACCAGCCATCCCAAAACTAATTCAGGACCATCAGATTACTTTGCAGATCTTAAGTTCAGAAAAAGCTGTTTCAGTTTAGCCAAACTGGTCATTTACAAAGGTTTGCCTACGGTAACTTCTGAACTTGTTAAGATGTGAAATTGAAGGTTTTCTCTACAGACATTAGTGCACTTTGCTCTGCACCCCTGAGGGATTTTTAAACTAAGTATTGTGAATATTAACTTGGAGGGAGCTATAAAGAATGGTAACAGACTTCAACCCTTCACATAACTAAAACAGAAAAACGCAGCAAAAATAAATGTAGATAGAATGATAAACTTACAATAATCTTGTATTTGTTTCATTTATGTTGAAATTATGAATATGAAAAATGACTTCTTAACTGGTAACACATTTACTTTTGCCTTGAGCTTTATTTAAACAAATTAGCATTGCATCTTTAAAGTTTTTCCATAGTTGAACCATCCCCCACTGATATCCATATTAATTCAGTTCTCTATTGTGCTCAGTATAATAATTACACCTTTAAAATTTCTGTCATCTTTTCCTTTTGACTTTTTAATGTAGCTAATTTCTTTCTATATGCTTCCATTTGCATTGATTGCAATGGTTCCCTCTCAGGAAACTACATTCCTGTAGCAGTTGGATTTCAGATGTAATGTGAGGATTAGCACCATGTACAAGTAGACAGCTAAACTGACATATTATGAAATGTTGAGTACTGAATGCCCAGAATGTTTGTGTGTCTGGAAGTACAAATTCCGCAGTCTATATGATTAATGCATCAAAGGGAGCTTGGTACAACATGGATACAGATACCATTGGTCTGCACTGGTGAGCAGTCGGTTTATAAACTAAGCCCTTAGCACAAGCTTGTAAGCTTTTTAAGAAGCTACTGAAACTGAGATTTTCAAACATCTATTTCATATGATTACTTTTGTCTCATGTTAAGACATTTTATTAATTGAAAACAGGCAATGAGGATAAACTTCCTTTTAGGTTGCTTTAATCATTAAAAGCCACAATATTGAATATACAGTCCAAAAACATGCTTTTATCTCCATAATCTTTTTACCCCACACTTTACAGTTGCTCTACTTTGTTGGCAATGAAAACGTAGCCTGACAGATATAGGATTTTTAGGATCAATACCAATAGTTAGTTATTTTATGAGTTCAATATTTTAGATATTATTTCCTTTAATAAACATGAATGTGACACATGCATAGTAGTGATATGTAAAGAAGATTTTAGTTTTGCAATTATAAGTAATATTGGTGGGTGAATCAATACTTGCAGGCTCTGGTGCCTTCATTGTAAGGGTCAAAGATATTTTTCACCTCCTTACAGTTCTTGGGGGTCAAAAATTACTCAAAAATGCCAACCCTTATTTTGGACCTACAGACCTGTAAACGTATATTGGTTCTTTAAGTTGGCAGCATTTTGAGTATTAGAGGACTGTTTTGTTTTTTGGGTTTGTTGGGTACCTTTTGCATTAGTATAGCTTAAGTAAAATTACTTGTCAGCTTATTAATTTAAAATCGAATTGATTTGTTTCGAATAAATCCAGTTATTATGGCAGATGTTCTTCCTTCTTTATTCGTACAGTGTATGCTCATGTGCTTTTGTGTAGCCAAGTGTACCTATTATACACTGACTTTTTGAAGATTTTAATTGATGATGTATTAGCCCAAGGACAAAAATTGCCTTACTTTCAGCACATCAGGAATGCGTCTGCATTTTCCCCTTAATCATTTTAAGACTAAACAAGTCATTGTTTTAAGATGCCCAATTACACGTTTGGATTTCACAGATAATTTCCGCTTGCCCTCCTCCTGATCTTGATACATTTTCAAGTGCAAGACAACAATCAAGCAGTTAGAGATTGTTAACCATAACAGATTGTTCAACCTTTTTCCCCTTTTCATTCCCAGCCTTGAACGTCAAGAGTCAGTTGCCACAACAGAAGCCCGCCTCAGAATGGAAGGAGTTGAACTTAAGGAAGAGTGGCAGGATGAGGACTTTCCACGGTACTGTCTCAATCGTACTTATATCATGCTTCATAGCTTTGCATCACATGTTTGGGTTTTTCAAAGTCCCATTAACCGTGAATCTGTTGAATGTATCATTATCTTTTGTATGAATCTTAGGCCTCTCCCAGAGGAAGAGGAGCTTGAAGATGAGCTTTTTGCAGAAGCTTCTGAGGCAGGAAACTCTGGTAATGAAAACACAATACTGTTCTTTGCATTGCTACAGTCAAAAACAGAACACTGAAGAACAAAGTTCTTGCATTTTAAAATGCACATGGCCATATGGAAGTTAAAAGAGATACTGGTTGATCTTCAATTCATGTGCATTCAGCTGAAACTGAGGCCTGAGCAGTCTGAGTTTTACAAATCAAAAGAGTAATTTCTGACGTGGTCTTTTTAGTACAAAATCCTCTCAGGTAGGGGTGGGCGGTATAAAAGGTATACGGTAGAAACAATATAAAATTGGCCAACGGTAGAGATTTTGACTTTACTGCGATAGCGAATGTTGATGGTGTCATCAAGCTGCGCCTGTTTTGGTCGAAAGCATCGCAGCGGCTGCAAACAATATCATCTGCAAATTATGTCGAGCGACGGTAATAGCAAAGAGACTAAGCACTTTTGGAATACGGGGAAAGCCAAAAACTGCACTTCCTAGACTTCCGTACCATTGATTAATTTTTGCTGAATTCTCTCGCAGCTGCCCTATTCCATGTTGTTGCAGTATATTAATGACTAACCTCGTATTGTGAATGGATTATCTCAGATGTTCTCCTGACTGAAGTTTGGTCCGTTTACAGCATCCCGACATGTGATTGTATATGTCCCTAACCACCAGAAACCCTCACGTTAACATTTATCGAGTGGAAAAAAGTTAACAGCCATCCTTCAGCTTCACTGTGCTAATGTTATGCTAACGTAGCTGTTTTGCTAGCGATCACGTAGCACATCACTATATACCAGCTAGCTCAACTTCAGTAACCCTACAAAGTCACTGCTGTTTAGTTTTCTGTCTTCATTTATGTTGGAAATGACAGCAGAGCTGTACGTTTGAATTTTTCAGAGATCTCTCAGTCAGAACATGCAATATCATGTTTAGGTGGAAACTAGCGAGCTGACTTCCTTGTCACTACCCGATCCGTACCGGAAACCCGATCGGCACCCCGCATGCGCAAATCTTCCGTCACTTCCTCTCTTTGCCAACATTGCGACATTCAATATATTTGAATGATACGGTTAGCGCCCAGTTAGCTCCTAGCATTTCTCAACAGCTCTGCCTCCTTTTCGACTGCCCGGGACATTTAAACAATGGATAATCCGTATACAAAGAAATTCATGCTTTTCTCCTCAACAGAGAGCGTCACCCGATTGAGCAACAGCGCCGTAAAATAAGAGGAATGGCGCCTAATTACAGAGTTAATAATGCAGACTTTGTAATATCTCACGTGTAGATTCATCAGCCAGATTAAGTGTTTACTGACAATTGACAGTGATAGCGCACATCATCATCACTATTCCAACAATCCTCTCCTCACAGACAAGCATAAACACACTCGACTATCGCTAAATCAGATTTCAGAGATCAGAGATTTCCTTTTTGTTATGAGTATATAAACAATATCATTAATGTCGATTTCAATTTTATTCATATAGCACATTTCATCAGAATCAGAATCAGAATACTTTATTGATCCCTGACATGTAAACTCAATGTCATAAAAGATAAAAATAAAAAAAATAAAAAAAACTTGACAAAGAAATACAAGGTAACACACACACTTTGTGCTGAGCTACAGCCAGGTGGTAGAGCAGGCTAATCTACTAATCAGGTAGTTGGTGGTTCGATCCCCATCTGCATCTGCTGCTCTGTGTGCCAAATATCCAAGATGTTTGGAACCATTAAAATGTCTGCACCTGATGGCCTGAGAGGTCTAATTGGGTTATAGATACTGAGGAAGTCAGAGATCTACTGTTCAGCCAAACCATTGAGGGCTTTATGAACTAATAGAAGCATTTTAAAGTAAATTCCGTACTGAACTGGGGGCACTTCAAAATTTGGGTAATATGTTCAAATTTACAAGTATGTGTGAAGGTTCTGGTTGCATTCTGAACAAGCTACTGATGATTTGGATAATCTGCCAAATAGAGCATTACAGTAGTTTCATTTCCCCAGTATGAATACATGGACTAATTTCTCTGAGCCAGTTTCAAAAAATAATTTTTATAGCATATTTTAGTGCATATTTCTAACTATTATTGGATATTTTCCCTCCATAAATTCTTAAATTTGCTCTTCCGTTTCTGTCTTTAAATACCAATTTAAAATAGATCTTTTTTGGTATTAGCAGTAGAAAGTTTTTATAATTTCTTTTATAAGGAAAACTGGTAAGACTGCACATTAAAAATACTGTCAAAATGAAAAGCCCTGCATTCACTTTTAGTTGAAATGCACACACACATTAAAATAAGTACCAACAAGAATACTGCCTATGCAATAGGTTAAAATGCCTCTTCCTACCAACCCATGATTCCAATCCCTACTTAAATAAGAGACGCACCAGAAAAGAACTGCTCACCACATGTAATCACTGTGTTATCTCTGACCTGAAAAAGCTTGAACCTTTCAAAAAGCTGTTCTCACAGTAGACCGTATAATCATTATTGATTTGACATCCTACCCTAGGCTACGCAGTGAATCATGGCAAGAAGACTAAGAAAAAACTTGCAGCTCCAGACATCAGTCTCACTCTTGACCGCAGTGAAGGTTCTCTTCTCTCTGACGAGCTGGATGAAAGCACAGAGCTAGACCTCAGTGACATGGACACGCCCTCGGACAACAGCAATGAATTTGAATGGGAAGGTAGGAATTATATATAATTAAAAATATTGGTCTGGTACTTCTGGTATTATCCTTTAACCCTCATTGTTTCACTTTGCTTATTTAAAGGCAGATGTTACACATCATCTTTTAGATGAGGTCTAGTTGGGATGTTATTTTCACAACAAACAGAAGTTCTCCGGTCTTTTTTTTTAATATCTGGGTTCTTGCGTCCATGTGTTTTGTTTTTTTTTTCTTCCTGTATTTTTTACAGGTTTGCTTAGGCAGCTGACTGCCTGCAGTGTGGTTAAAATATGCTTTGTTGTTTTTTGTTTCCACACTGCTGCCTTCCTCTTTTTCACTTGGAAGAATTGTTTCCATTCTCTGCCTGGAAACAGGCTGCAGGCCAGCAACAGGTTTCTCTGTTCCTTGTGGTAAGATCTTTTGGACAGCTGTCTTTTTATTTTTCAAACAAATCAAGATGTTTTTTTGTTTGTTTTTCATTTTTGTTCGTTTGGTTTGTTCCTCCCCACCATATTTCATACCCTTTCATTTTTACTTAATATATTTGATTCATCTCCCCCTTTCTTTCAATTGTTCCTGCTTGAGTAAACAATAGCAGGTTATCACTTAATGGTGAAATTGTTGGCCATTTTGTCCTGTTTGATTATCAGTTATTCAGTGAGTCACAATTTAAAAGCATTCAAATTTCAGAGAATAACTACTGGAACAAGAAAACTTCATTGATCTCTGCACGAAAATTGATTTGCCGCAGTTGCTTAACACAGTAATAAAAGAGTAAATGCCTTAAGCATAAAACTTAAATTAAACTTGTATTAAGTTATATTGTTCCAAAATCAAACAAGACATGAGACCAGACAATTAGAATTAAATTAAATTAAATTAAGAACATTTTGGTCCTCTTCACAGAAAACACACTCAAGTTTGTCCGTTTGATTTAATCTCACGGTTTCATAAGTTTTGATTTGCTTGTTGCATGCTTGATATCATGTGATCATGTGAGTACTTTCCTTGATGTCTGCATGATGAACTTGACATTCTGCACATCATGCAGCTATGCTGTAAATCTTACAAACGATCCTCAGATATCCTTGGGCATTTGAGCAAATGCAGCACTCTACAGTAGAAGTGTGTTTTGCTTTTGCTTTCCTACAGGAAATTATGAATTTTCTCCCCAGAAAAAGTGAAGTGAGCGTATGGAATTGAGGATGTGAATGTTGGTGTTGATTCAGAGAAAGAACATCCCTCAAGATACACAAGATTAAAGCAAGAAAATAAATGTGCATATGATTTGAAATTTAAAATACGAATTATCGCGTGATCTCAAAATTGTATCACATTTGACCAAAAGGAATCTGATTTGAATCATGTGTTAAGTTTGCAGCATTCAAGTTGTTAGTTTAACTTGCCTCTTCTCCTTCAGATGATCTTCCTAAGCCAAAACCCACAGAACTACTACAGAAAGGCGTGGAGTCAGTTCACGAGTATTCGGCCTCAGAGGAGAGGGAAGACAGTCGACGCTGGAAGATGCTTCGTATTGGAGACCAGGAACACAGAGTGGACATGAAGGCCATTGAACCTTACAAGAGAGTCATCAGCCATGGAGGCCAGTACCATTGAAGTACCTCTAGTAGCAAGTCTTGAAACTTTACATACAATTTGGCAGCATCTCACTGTACTTATTAGAAGTATTATTTTTAAGGGCCTCTCTAAATAAATTATGAGTGATTCCTAATCTTAATTCCAGCTGCAGCCAGGACATGAAAACTACATTTATAGAGTCATCGGTGAAATCTGACAACAAAGACACTTAGGTATATCTGCCCCAGCTTGAGGCTTAAAAAGCTTTCATCACAGAGGTTACACTTTTACAAAACGTTGATTCACAAGATTATGGCTTCATTAACGGTTAAATCCAGTGATGACACAATCAAAGCCATAGTCTGGCTCCTCCCACCAGAGCAAAGAACAAATGGCATGCTAATTAATCTTATAGACACAGTAAGCCCAAAACAATGTTATGATTGGCTCATATTTTATCCGATCGGTTCTTTGGTAGCAGCAGTGGATGAATAAACTGTATTGCCGGTACACGTTTGACATGATTCAATCAGCTTGTGTGTATTCACAGTATGAATTCCTTTTTTTTTTTTTAAATATTAAAAATGACTTTGTGGCGTTTGAATCTCTCATTGCAGGTTACTATGGAGACGGTTTGAATGCCGTAATTGTGTTTGCTGTGTGCTTTATGCCGGAGAGCAATCAGCCAAATTACAGATACATCATGGAGAATTTATTCAAGTGAGTTTTTATTTGAAATTTAGTTCCTTCGCACATTTTAGAGAGCTGTGTCAAATGCGATATTCTTGTTTCAGGTACGTCATTGGCACACTGGAGCTTTTGGTTGCTGAGAACTATATGATTGTGTATTTAAACGGGGCGACCTCTCGTAAGAAGATGCCAACTGTTGGCTGGCTTAGAAAGTGCTATCAGCAGATTGATAGGAGGTGAGTGAGTTGCACAACTTGGAAAACTGGTTTTTAAAAGACAGACAATATGAGAACATAGATATTTGGGTCACTTCAGACAAATAAGCATCAGATCGTAACACCTGTCCTCACTCTTCTGTACAGGCTACGGAAGAATCTGAAATCCTTGATAATCGTACACCCCTCTTGGTTCATTCGCACCCTGCTGGCACTCACCAAACCTTTCATAAGGTAACTGTAATGTAAAAAGGTAATCACAAGTCAAAGACATTCGTGGTGTAATCTCTTTATTCTGAATGTTTCTGATTTCTTTTTCACAGCTCCAAATTTAGTCAGAAAATCAAGTACGTGTACAGCTTGTCAGACCTTGCTGACCTGGTTCCAATGGAGTATGTGTCCATACCAGATTGTATCAAACAGTAAGTATGGTGTTTGTAGCACTGATGTCTGTGTTGCATTATAGTGGTTTTCCTCGTGGCAAGGGTAGGCCGTAAGTTAGCTGTGTCCCACTGACCTAAATGTGCACACTGCGTCATTATACAGGAGATACAGTCTGCCCAAAGCCCATGAGCATTACTATTATTATTATTATTATTATGATTATTATTATTATTATCATCATCATATATGCATGATCCCATGTTACAATGGCAATGTTTTATTGCCACGTCACTACATATTGCTTCCAGTGTATACACAGCTTAGGTTGTTGTTTTGTAAGTATTCTATAAGCTGCTGTTAAATATCGTAGTCTTCATTTCTTTGCTAATATGCATAATTATTGAGCTGCACTACAAATTACTCATGCTGTCTTCTTCTTTGAGGCTCTGCACGTGACAAATCTTGTATCGTCACGGCATTTAAAAAGGCAGCACAAATAACTCATCTTGACTCAGTGAAACTCAGTAAAATGTTTTTCTCTTTTGGATGTGTGGTTGCTGTCGGCTGTGTGTTTCTTCTTCTGCCTAACCCGATTTCCCTGCCCCCTTCTTAAGGTTTGACGAGGAAAAAAATAGGAAAAGCCGTAAAAGGTATATGCACTTTCACCCAGGGTCAGCTTCCGCATCTTCTGCATTTCATAAAACTAACAGAGAAATGATGAGTTGGCTTTCAGAAATGCACCAAGACACCTAACTTTCTTTCATTTTCATAGTTGGATGATTTTTAGTTACTGCTTGTCCCGAATCAACAGCTTTCCTCTTCAACTCCCCACATGTTCATCTGATTTGATTCAGGATTTACCTTCCTAATTAACAGATTGAGAGTACATTTTTTGGTCTCCAAAAAATAGGTGACTTGGTGATTATTTAACCAGCTAAATAGATTTTCTGAGCCACTTTTGTGAAGATCATCCCCAAAAGACTATTGCATTTACATTTATTACCTCAAAGCTACCTTAAAATTGTATTCAGCACTTAGTTTTGTTTGTTTTTTTTAAGCCGCAGAGCGTGCTTGCTCACAGCTCATACTTGCTGTCACAAGTCATAACTTCACAAGCTACATGAAGATAAGGTTTCAAGGAAGCTGAATGTGTTGCTGCTTGTTAAGGTAAAAAAAAGCCAGGGCATTAAGTTGCACTTACTTGCATTTATCTTGTGAAAAACAGGCTCTTATTTTGAGGAGGTTGGTGTTTGGTAAGTTTGTTCGTGTGTACAAATGAATGGGGTCAAGTAAGGAAGTAGCTCGCCTTAGTCACTGTGGTTTTTGGTGGCACTGCAGCCGTGGCCTCACATGGTTTAGTAACTGGCTCTCACTGAACACACGGTTTGTTCATTCTCACAGCTCTTTGCATGACTCACTGCTTACCCGCTGCCCACTGATTTTTGGTAATTGCCACTTCTTTCAGTTTTAATATTCTGCTTATTGTTGATTCAGTAATGACCACTCAGGAAGAGATGGTATTCAGCAAGACAAAGGCTTTTCTGGCAATATTTAATGTATTTTTACTGCTAAAGTAGAAGCCAAAGTAGAAATTTTTCACTTTTCAATGGAAACAGGAAACTTTTAACGATACAGCTGGTACTGATCTTTGTACTGATCAGACATTTTAAGAAGTTGCATGTATACAAAATATATACATGTGTATATACAATATACAAATTGGGATTTGTATATATTTTAGCGTTTTAAAATTTTTTTTTTTTTTTTTTTTTTTTTTTTTTTGGGCAAACTGGTCTAGTGAGTCTGATCATTTTTATACATTCCTGTGTATAGAAATAATCCTGACACCAAAAAATCCCATTTTGATAGTGTTACAGATTTTGTACAGTTTTAATGACCACTAAACTTGTGTGCAGAATCGATCAGGACATGCACGGCAAAACGGAGAGCGCAGCTGCTACTGTCCCGGAGTGACCTGGCTCACGCTTCGAGACGTGGAAAGGAACGGTGAAGAATGTTGAGGACTGCAGCCATTCATGTTTGTTTTCTGGGTGATGGGACTGGAGGCTTCTTTGCATCAAGAAAGTGCCTTTTTGACATGATGCTGCCTGTTACATGTTGGAACTGTTTTTTGTTTTTGTGCTGCATTTCTGTGTCAACCAGTTTGATCTGCAGCACTTTGTCCACATGCTGTCATAAACTTTTTAATCCTTTTTTATTTACTCCTGTATCTCATGTCAAACTAAGCGCATTGGTTTCCCTGTAGCTACTGGTGTATGTACACTATTTGAGGCACTCTTGTTACAAGTGGTTGATGCATGTTCTACTTTATTACATTTAAAATTATATATTTATATTCAAAAGGTGTCAAAGGAAATAAATTAATATATTTTTATGATGGATCTGATTTTAAACTGCGTATTAGGTCACTGACTCACTGAGTGGCATTGGATAGAACACGTTTAATGGCATCTTGTTCACTGTTCACTGCTGATGTTCTCTGTTAAAATCCTGCCTGGGGAAAGGAAATCTTTGTTTTTATTTTATCTTTTTTTTTCTTTTTCTCGATCTTTTTTTTTCTTTTCTTTTTTTTTTTTTTTTTTTTCTTTTGGCCCCTCACTTGAATGTACTGTTTTTGCTTGTTGGGGGTGAACACTTGCGAAAGAAACTATCTGAACCAAGGATGTAGGTCTTTATTTTCTCATTTCCTTCAAAGTAAAGCCATGGATCCAATCTGATTGCTTTGTATCTTTTATTATTGTTGTTATTATTAGTTTTAGATCTTTTTTTTTTTTTTTTTTTTTTTTTTTTTTTGTAATGCAAAATTTTGGGGAATAACAAGATAGTTTTTGCGCTACAATAGTTCTGTAGTGGTCAAAAGTATGTTTAACAGGAAATGAGAATTTACAAGAACAAAAACAAAAGGCAACATGCACTCAGCTATTAATTGTCTATATGGAAATAAAAATGTAGCCTAATGCAGTAGTTCTGCAGTAAATGTGCTTTCAGTTAGGTTAAAACTTTTGCTTGAGACAATGTGAGCTGAGTTAACTACCTAGTAATTGCAAGGACAAAATTTGAGAAACCTCTGTTTAAATACAATATAAAAAAAAATACAATACAAAAACAATACACTTAAAAAGAAAAGATTTGAATTTCAAATGATCTGTTGTGAAAGTTTAATAGACATACTTTAAGCAATGTTTTTCACCTTTGCATGTCTCTTCTGCCATACTTGAGCTCCACTAGATGGCACTGCAATTACAGGTTTCACTGACAAGAAACTATTAACAGCTCTACAAGAAGGCTTGAAAGAAGTACCAAAAATGACAAGGAACAGTGACAGCCACGGGATTTTACATTTACATGACTGACATTTTAGTATAAATTATTGCTGATCTGAAAAAATCTAATTCTCCATAGTTGTTGAAAAACCAAGGCATTAGACCCCTTTGCTTTGTTACAACACCTCCCAACATTCTTATCTTTTTAACCACTAAAGGCAAAAATAAAACTCAGGGTCTTCTACGGGTGTAACTTAGAAAGGACTTTCTACTTACAACAAACAACGCAAACTTCACTTATAATGAATGACACTTTTAATTCATTGTAAGTTTTACTCAATGGTCACATTTTCCTAGTGGACAGTGGATCATGACCTAAAGCTTTGAAACGCAGCACTGATTCCAGACACCTTATGGCAACATCATCAACCTCTGGATCAAACTTATTTGCAAACAGGTGGTGTTGTTTCAGGAGCCATGGGAGGTCACCCACTCCATACACACAAACAGATCTTCTGTAAACACCAGTGCATGGGTAATATGGGGCTCCTTTATTCATATCTCCTGCTAAATACGACCACTTCACTGCCCGAGCCAAAGCTAGCATGTCTGACATGTCATACTTCCCATTTTGGGGCATTGACCCAGGAACAGAGGGCATCCTCTGCAGGGTGGCCCACAAGTGCTCATCAGGGCTGTATGTGTCCTTCTCCCACTCCAGAAACTTCTGAACCTCTCTGTCCTCCATCACATGTTCCACAAAAGCTCTTGTGACCACAAAGTAGGCATTTCCTGAGAACATGGGGATGCTGATTGGTGGGGCACTTTTCCTCACATTTGTGTTGATAACACTCTTTGTGATATTGTGGTGATACTGCCAACGACCTTTCTTGTAGCCAGAAGTCACCTCGGACTCCATGCTGTTCCTCCCATTGAGAAACTTCAGTGCCCTCACCATCTCTCTGTTTGTTTTGATGGGGAAGTCTGTCCCACAGGTGTTAAGCAGGTACCTCCAGTTGATGTGAGTATTTAGCAGATCTTTCATGCAATTCAGATCTGCCTGTACTCTGAACCACGAGGCATATACCACTCTTTCTAATTTACTGGCTACAAACACATTAGGAAAGCATGAAGCAATCGCAGCCACAGCCTTCATGAATGATGCAGAGGATTTCTGGTCCACGTGTACACAGTAAATGTTCTGAGGAACATAAACAGCTCGTAGAAGCCGCTCAAACATCTCAATGTTGTCATGGATCACCATGGAGTATGCAATGGGGAAATCTTTCTCTTCCTCACTGAGAGGAGCTGTGATGAAACCTCTTTTTTCAATGTAAGCCTGACAGTTCACTGTTGCATTAATGTAGAAGTCCTCAGAAAAAACATTCTTCTTTTTCCTGGATGACAGAAGCCCTTCTAATTCACCTTCCTTACCTTTCACATCACCAGTGATAATAGTCGAACAACCAGGCAGATCAGCTGAGAACTGAGGAGGTATTTGCAGATCAGACGGTGACTGTTCAGAGCCAAATCTCCAAAGAGCAAAAGAAAGGAACAAAACCATCAAGGTAAGAAAAAGATTTCTTAACATACGACCCTTTGTAAAATACATATCCTTGTTTGAAAGGGACTGCCACACAGGTGACTTTGTCTTCAGTGCAGGTTACAATTCGACTAAATGGTGAGAGGCTGCACCGTGGGGAGGTGTGTCAAGCTAAGGCGGAGACAATAAAAACATTACCTGGGAGGTTATGCCTATTACATCTATTTCTTTTGTCCCCATGATAGATCAGAGAAAACCGACTCATAGTGTATTAAAACATCTATATTTCTTTTTATTCAATCATCTTCCGGAAGAGAGAGACCCCTGCACAGCCCAAACGCCAGTTGCAGGATCTCTAACATTAGAATCATAAACTATGTCTCATATATTATTTTGGTACTTTACACGTCACACAGTTTCGATACCAACATTCCTCATATGGCAAAGTTCCACTTTTCTGTGTCTTATCTATTAATATGCCTGTGCACTAAAACTTCCTGTGCAGCTTGCAATAACTTCCCCTTTCTAAGGTCTGTCTGAACTTAGTTTCACTCTGTCTGTTGCTCATACTCTACAAAAAACATGCAGTTTCTTGTCAGCCTGTGACCTAGTCTCAAAGCTGGCCTTCTTTTCTACATAAAACAATCTAATGAGCAGATACGCATTAAAAAATATCTCTCTATTTCTTACAGCATCAGTAGTGCTGATGTCACTGATACACCAGTGCAAATTCAAACAGATGATATTTTCAGGATGATAGTTTATAACACGCTGGTGTGTTTCAAGGTGTACTGATAGCATCAATTAGAAAAGATTTTATTTCTATTTACAATAAATCATGCAAGTTTCACTTACAAATTTAATATCAGGTTGAAAAAAATATATACATTCACACAAACTTGTAACTTTTCAGACATTACTCACGTGGTCTAAGAAATGGTAATATACTGTACAGATACGGGCACCTCATATAGGAAATATTCACCTTAAGTCGAAAGAAACCTACCAAAACAAATTAACTCTTCATTCTCTTTTGATCATTAACCATTTTAACTTTGAATACTTGTCCGTCTTGATACTGTGCATCCATGATACATACCTCAGTTAGGGTGAGCTCTAGATGCATCTGAGGCATTAACATTTTGATCATAAAATTAAAAAAAAAAACTCAAGAAAACAATGGCACAGTAACAACCACAGGCTTTTACATATTACATGACTGATATTTTAGTCGATGTTTCTCAATAGCTCAGTTATTTATGCTGCATGGCTTTTGGACCCTTGCTTCATGTAACTCCATTTCTCTGCCTTCCTGTTTCCTCGTCACCTCACTAAAGGCAATGAAAAAATTCTTAATATAAATCTTTATAATAATTTATTTAAATCTCAAAAACCACATATCAATGCCATGATATTTACTTAAATAACTCGAATATCACAAATTACACTTTTAAATCATTGTAAGTATTACTCTGTGCCTGGGTCCTCGTCACAAAACATGACATCACTGTGATAATGTTATGTTGGTTTTGCAGATTCTGCATAGCAGGTTTAATATAGGGGGAAAACAACTTCCAGATTGTGTGAGTAAAATCAGGTTTTTTCTCTTTGTCAGTTTAACAGTTTCTGTTGTGCCTGTCACTGTTCCCTGTCTGTCTTCTTACCCGGTTCTTCCTGACCTTGTACTTTCTCCTCATGTTCCCCTCTTTCCTCTCTCCCTCTTTGGACTGACAATCTTACACAAATAGATTATATACAATTAGATGAAAAATTAAATTAATATGAAACAAATACTGTAGATCATTGGTTAAATGATCACCAAGCAATATTTGTTTGTGCAGACCTGCCATAACTGTGGGGGACTAGCCCAACCGGAATAGTATGGTGGGGGGAGTTTTGTTCTTCCGGTGCGGTCTGTGTGTTTTGTCATGTGCTGGAGTACCATTAAAAGTTTTACAGCGGACGAACATCGAGAGTGATTAGTGGCTCGTCGCATCACACGAGAGTGCTACATGGTGTCAGAAGACGGTACGGACGTCACGCCAGCGCGTATGTTTATATCCCTGTCGGCGTACCGCACTGCTTATTGTGCGCTGTGTCGGATTAGCCGCTAAAGAAAAAACAAAAAAGAGAAAAGAAGTCGCCCCATCATGGCGGACGGATTTTGCAGACCTGACCCTCTGGTTTTTGATGAGAACATTGCCGAGAATTGGCGTGTTTTTGAAAGGGAGTATGATATTTTCATCGCCGCAGCTCACTCTGACAAGCCGGCAAAGACAAGGGCTTACATTCTCCTGAATATTGCTGGACCAGACGCCATTGAACGAGAACGCTCGTTCGTTTATGCTCCTGCCATTCGCGCAGCTGGTGCAGATGGAGAGATACTGCTGCTGAGTCCAGAGAGGATCCAGAGTGTTTGAAGGCAAAATTTCGAGAAATCTGCAATCCTCAACACAACAGGACGATGGAAAGATATAGATTCCACACCAGAAATCAGAAGCCAGGTGAGACACTTGAATCATTCATCGGTGATTTAAAGATCAAGGCTAAATGTTGTCACTTTGGGGACCTCACTGACAAGATGCTCAGTGATCGTATCGTCTGTGGTGTCATTAGCGACACGTTGAGAAAGGCTCTGCTAAGAGACAGCGAGCTAACACTTGCTAAAGCTATCTCGGTGTGTCGAATACACGAAATGACTGAAAAAAACAGCAAGACACTAGCAACACAAGCTACCAGTGTCGACGCAGTAAAGCCCATTCTGAACAGCAAGCACAAGCCTAAGCCCCTTTCATTCCCACAGACTGTCACCAATTGCTCCAAATGTGGAGGCAGCCAAGCGAGACAAGTGTCCAGCATTTGGACAACAGTGTCACAACTGTAAAAAAACTGAATCACTACAAAAGTTGCTGCAAGTCTAAACCACGCAGCCATCACAGAGCCCCTAACAGACAGACTGCAAGGCGGCTTGTGAACGAATTAACAGTGAGTGAGCCACCACTTCAAGATGAAACGTTTTACGTGGATGGTGTAGAGCTTGACAGACAGATTGACTGCATCCACGCTAAAGCTAATAAAAAAGATGAGGGATTTGTCACAATACACATAAATGGCGTGCCCACAGAGATGAAAGTAGATACGGGAGCGAAATGCAATGTCATGTCACTCAAGACTTTCGAAACAGTGAATGGCAGAAGACAGACTGTTAAACAAGAGAATCCTGTGAGCCTTGTTACCTATGGAGGCACGAGAATTCAGACCACTGGAACTGTTACACTCCCTTGTTGCTTAAAGAAGCAGTGTCACACGTTGCCTTTCTTTTTGGTGGATAGAGAAGTGCAACTGCTGCTAGGATTTCGAGCATGCATGGAAATGGGCATTGTGAAAATGAGCCCTGAGGTCCACCAGATCAGCACAGAAAGCAGCACAGATTTCAGCTCCCACATATTCACACAATACCATGACCTGTTCAGTGATGAACTGGGGGAACTTCCAGTCACATACTCAATGATACTAGACCCTGATGTACAGCCTGTCGTCCGTCCAGCCCACCGCATCCCCGTCGCGATGCAAGAAAGAGTCAAAGCTGAACTTGAACGCATGCAACGCATCAGCGTTGTAACACCAGTCACCGAGCCTACTGACTGGGTGTCCTCAATGGTGGCAGCACACAAGAAAGACAAGCATGAGATTAGACTGTGCATAAATCCAAAAGACCTCAACACAGCACTGAAAAGACCCCATCACCCAATGCGCAGCGTTGAGGAAGTGGCAGCACAGATGTCAGGAGCGACAGTGTTCTCAGTGCTAGATGCAAAAAAACTCCTTCTGGCAAATACGGCTCGTCGAGAAATCCTCAATGCTGACCACATTCAGCACCCCATTTGGGCGATACAGGTTTCTGCGGATGCCCTTTGGTATCAACTCAGCCAGTGAGGTGTTCCAGCGCTCCATGGAACAGCTGTTTGCCGGTTACCCGTGCTCGGTCATTGTGGATGACATCATCATCGGAGGACACAGAGTGGCCGAGCATGATGCCAACCTGAAAAAAGTGCTGACACGTGCTCGAGAGATCAAACTCAGGCTAAACCCTGACAAGTGCAAATTTCGCCTAGATCAAGTGTCATATGTGGGCCACATCTTCACAAGGGACGGTCTAAAAGCAGACCCCTCCAAAACCACAGCAATAGGAGCAATGCCGGTGCCCATGGATGTCACGTTGCTACAGCGCTTCCTCGGTATGGTTAATTACCTTGGGAAATACATACCGAACCTTAGTGAGATTGCCGCACCCCTAAGGAAACTAACCCACAAGGAGACTGCGTGGTGCTGGTTCCCACAGCACCAAGAGGCTTTCGACCACCTCAAATCATGCCTCTCCAGCCCGCCAGTATTGGCGTATTACAACGTCAAGGAGCCAGTCACACTGACATGTGATGCATCATGCTATGGGCTGGGCGCTGCGTGTTTGCAAAATGGCAGACCGGTGGCCTTCGCCTCGCGTGCTCTCACTGACACAGAGACGCGATATGCTCAAATAGAGAAGGAGCTCCTCGCCGTGGTGTTTGCCTACACAAAGTTCAAAGATTATGTCTATGGCAAAGCAACAATCATTGAAACTGACCACCAGCCCCTGGTGACCATAATGAAAAAGCCAATCCATGCCGCCCCTGCCCGGCTCCAGAGGATGTTACTGCGACTACAGAGTTACGACATCAGTCTGGTCTACAAAAAGGGGAAATACATGTATCTAGCCGACACCCTTGCAAGAGCCCCGCTCGCCCCGCTGTCACGCTGCCTGGTCGAACACACTGATTATGAAGTGATGACAGTGAGCTACATCTCCACTGCTCGCTTGGAGGAGCTAAGACAGCACACAGCACAAGATGATGTGCTACAAGCGCTCAGCACAGTCATTCAGCGAGGGTGGCCCAGCAGAGAGAGCCAAGTACAGCCCGCTCTGGCTCCGTTTTTTCCATATAGAGATGAGCTCAGCATGGAGGATGGGATCATCATGAAAAGCCACAAAACTGTCATTCCCCAGTCCCTGCACAAAGAGTACATCAACATCGTACACAAAGGCCATCCAGGTACCGAAGCAACCAAGCGCAGAGCTAGGAGTGTCATTTTTTGGCCAGCAATGTCAAAAGACATCGCAGAAGAGCTGCTCTCTTGCACTGTGTGTAACAGCACTAAGACACATCAGCAGAGAGAACCGCTACAACTGCACCCTGTTCCAGACCTCCCATGGTCAACGGTGGCTGCTGACATTTTTACCTGGCATGGAAAACAATACCAGGTCCTTGTAGATTCCTATTCAGGATGGATTGAGATTGAACTTCTCCGTGACTTGACCACAGCAGCGGTCATTTCCAAGCAAAAGAGACACTTTTCAGTTCATGGCACACCGCACACGCTCCTCACTGACAATGGCAGATAATACACTAGTCAACAGTTTGTTGATTTCGCAAAACAGTGGGACTTCACCCATTCAACCAGCAGCCCAGAGTTTCCACAGTCAAACGGTCTTGCTGAGAGAGCAGTGCGAAGTGCAAAACAGCTCATGGAAAAATCTCACCGAGATGGAACCGATGTGTTTCTTGACCTCCTAAATCTTAGAAACATTCCCCGTGACACACAACTAGGCTCCCCTGCTGAACGCCTCATGTCTCGTCAGACACGCGCGGGCATTCCTGTGTGCAGCAAGCTGTTGGCACCCATTGCAAAAGACACAGGACAGATCCGTGACCGACTTCGCGACAAAAGACTCAGACTGAAGCGTCACTATGATAAGTCCAGTCGCACGCTACAGCTGTTGCAAGAAGGACAAGTGGTCCACGTGCAGACAGAGAAAGGCTACGACAAGCTGGGAATTGTGGAAAGGAAGAGCAAGGAGCCACGATCCTACATCATTCAGGTCGATGGAAGAACCTACAGGAGGAATCGCCGCCACATCCTCCCAGTGGCAGAACCGCCTCCACCACCACTCCATGACTATGACCCTGAGTGCCAGGACACTAACCATTCTACAATGGACAGTTCCACACTCACACCGCAATCACACACACGCTCAAACGAAGATTCACAAAACACATCCTCTCCTCAGCCCCAACCTGCTGTGCAGGTGCCCGGCCAGAACATTGTGAACCAGACACCATACACTACACGTGCAGGTCGCATCTGCAGACCCAACCCAAGATACACGTAAATGGAAAACACTAGGATACCTTAGGTGTAATCAGTTTGTTGTCAGTATGTTGAAATATGATGCTTTCTATTTGCATTTTTCATAATTGCTGTTATGTTAAGGTGTGGGGTTACTCCGAGCAAAAAAACATTGTTAAGTTAAAGTTGTGTTAAGAAGCACTGTTTAGAGACTTGTGAGTGAATTAGTTTTGTTAGGTGCTACCAGCTAAATGGGGAGGATGTAGATCATTGGTTAAATGATCACCAAGCAATATTTGTTTGTGCAGACCTGCCATAACTGTGGGGGACTAGCCCAACCGGAATAGTATGGTGGGGGGAGTTTTGTTCTTCCGGTGCGGTCTGTGTGTTTTGTCATGTGCTGGAGTACGCATTAAAAGTTTTACAGCGGACTACTAACAAAAAGTCCTAACCAAACCACATGCATATCTAATAAAAGATATAAATATTGAAACACTGATCGAACATTATTGCTGATTCACGGATCATTTGATTTTACAAGTTTACCTGAATGTGGCTCCTTTTTTTGAAAAAAACTTTCTTATATCCATTGTGAACCTGGCTGTCTCTCTGTACACACAAACACTGATTCAGTAAGGACATCTCCTGGTTTCATCTTCATGTTTCCCTCTCCCCACATACACAAACCGATATCATGACCAGCAGCTTTTACAGCTGTGGCTCCACCGAACATCAGCTGATACTAGAAATTAATATTAAATAAATGCTAACAACAGCTGATCACGCTTAAACGTCCTGCCGTTGTTCAGCGTGACCTCCGCTGGTCTCAGCAGGTTTCCCCAATCTTATAAACAGTACATTGCATAATGACTGCAATTAGCACCACTGAAGGAACAATGGGCTGGGAGGGCAGTTCCTTGATTATTAATATGCGATGAGTTTATACGATTCGGGAAAACCTGCAGTCAGAGGGTCAGAGATTTCTGGTCCACGTGTACACAGTAAATGTTCTGAGGAGCATAAACAGCTCGTAGAAGCCGCTCAAACATCTCAATCTTGTCATGGATCAACATGGAGTATGCAATGGGGAAATCTTTCTCTTCCTCATTGAGAGGAGCTGTGATGAAACCTCTTTTTTCAATGTAAGCCTGACAGTTCACTGTTGCATTAATGTAGAAGTCCTCAGAAAAAACATTCTTCTTTTTCTTGGATGACAGAAGCCTTCCTAATTCACCTTCCTTACCTTTCACATCACCGGTGATAATAGTCGAACAACCAGGCAGATCAGCTGAGAACTGAGGAAGTATTTGCAGATCAGACGATGACTGTTCAGAGCCAAATGTCCAAAGAGCAAAAGAAAAGAACAAAACCATCAAGATAAGAAAAAGATTTCTTAACATACGACCCTTTGTAAAATACATATCCTTGTTTGAAAGGGACTGCCACACAGGTGACTTTGTCTTCAGTGCAGGTTACAGTTTGACGAAATGGTGAGAGGCTGCACTGTTTCATTACATAAGGAAGTCTGTAAATCTAAGGTGTGGAAAACCTAAAAAAAAATCCGAGACCATTTTTGCCTGTTGCATAGTTGAGCATCAACACTACTAATGCCGCTTTTAGAGTAGTGTTAAATGCAATCAGATAACATTACCAAGAAGAGCGAGTATAATGAAGTTGTTTGTTTCAGGATCTTCTACGGGTGTAACTTAGAAAGGACTTTCTACTTACAACAAACAACGCAAACTTCACTTATAATGAATGACACTTTTAATTCATTGTAAGTTTTACTCAATGGTCACATTTTCCTAGTGGACAGTGGGTCATGGACTAAAGCTTTGAAACGCAGCACTGATTCCAGACACCTTATGGCAACATCATCAACCTCTGGATCAAACTTATTTGCAAACAGGTGGTGTTGTTTCAGGAGCCATGGGAGGTCACCCACTCCATACACACAAACAGATCTTCTATAAATACCAGTGCATGGGTAATATGGGGCTCCCTTATTCATATCTCCTGCTGAATACGACCACTTCACTGCCCGAGCCAAAGCTAGCATGTCTGACATGTCATACTTCCCATTTTGGGGCATTGACCCAGGAACAGAGGGCATCCTCTGCAGGGTGGCCCACAAGTGCTCATCAGGGCTGTATGTGTCCTTCTCCCACTCCAGAAACTTCTGAACCTCTCTGTCCTCCATCACATGTTCCACAAAAGCTCTTGTGACCACAAAGTAGGCATTTCCTGAGAACATGGGGATGCTGATTGGTGGGTCACTTTTCCTCACATTTGTGTTGATAACACTCTTTGTGATATTGTGGTGATACTGCCAACGACCTTTCTTGTAGCCAGAAGTCACCTCGGACTCCATGCTGTTCCTCCCATTGAGAAGCTTCAGTGCCCTCACCATCTCTCTGTTTGTTTTGATGGGGAAGTCTGTCCCACAGGTGTTAAGCAGGTACCTCCAGTTGATGTGAGTATTTAGCAGATCTTTCATGCAATTCAGATCTGCCTGTACTCTGAACCACGAGGCATATACCACTCTTTCTAATTTACTGGCTACAAACACATTAGGAAAGCATGAAGCAATCGCAGCCACAGCCTTCTTGAATGATGCAGAGGATTTCTGGTCCACGTGTACACAGTAAATGTTCTGAGGAGCATAAATAGCTCGTAGAAGCCGCTCAAACATCTCAATCTTGTCATGGATCACCATGGAGTATGCAATGGGGAAATCTTTCTCTTCCTCACTGAGAGGAGCTGTGATGAAACCTCTTTCTTCAATGTAAACTTGACAGTTGACTGTTGCATTAATGTAGAAGTCCTCAGAAAAAACATTCTTCTTTTTCTTGGATGACAGAAGCCCTTCTAATTCACCTTCCTTACCTTTCACATCACCAGTGATAATAGTCGAACAACCAGGCAGATCAGCTGAGAACTGAGGAGGTATTTGCAGATCAGACGATGACTGTTCAGAGCCAAATGTCCAAAGAGCAAAAGAAAGGAACAAAACCATCAAGGTAAGAAAAAGATTTCTTAACATACGACCCTTTGTAAAATACATATCCTTGTTTGAAAGGGACTGCCGCACAGGTGACTTTGTCTTCAGTGCAGGTTACAGTTCGACTAAATGGTGAGAGGCTGCACTGTTTCATTACATAAGGAAATATGTAAAACTAAGGTGTGGAAAACCGAAAAACATTCCTGGAATATTTTACAGTTTGCAGAATTGTATTCAACTCTACTGATGACACTGATAGACCAGATGACACTGATAACATTACCAGGATGACAGGGTTTAAGGCAGTTGTTTCAAGGCATTCAAACAGTGTAAATTAGAAAAGATTTTCTCTTTCCAACAAACAAGTTTAACTTACAGTATATGACCAATTCACTGTTTCACAAGCACGACTTTAATATCAAGTTGAAAAAAAAAAACCCATATACATTTACACAAACGTGTATGATCTGTACTGTTTCACGTGTCTAAGAATTTCCATTATACAGATACAGGCACTTCATAGAATAAATATTCACCTGAAGTCAAAAGAAACATACCAAAGAAAATTACTGCTGCATTCTCTTTTACACATTAACTATTTTAACTTTGACTACGTGTCCGTCTTGATACTGAGCATCCCGAAACATTCCTCAATTACTCTGAGCTCTAAATGCATCTAAGAATGACTAAAACGGATGTTCTCATCCACATCCTGGTCTGCATCTGTGTCCTGCTCGTGGATGAAGCTGTAACGCCGATAAACGGATCCACCTTTGCTGGTGTACACCACATCTACCTCATCTCCGCTATCTGGCTCGGGCACGCCGTGGGGCATGTTAATGTTCGCACTACCACTCAATCTCTCATAGCTTCGTTTCCAACAAAGCCTCTTCCTAGCATGGGCTTTAACCAAGACAAATACAGCCAGAGTCAAACCAATTGCCAGCAGCAGAGCAATAGGCAAGGCAGCTGAGGTGTGCTTCAGAGTTCTGGAGGACAAACTCATATCGGTTTCCTGGATGTCTCCTGATTTAGGCTGGGGGGCCTCCACACACAGTGCTAGAAAAAACACAAAATTCCTTTAGTAAACTGTCACATCTATACACTTTTCTTTCGCTTATGAAAGACAGCATCACTACCTGAGCGGCTGTCACAAACACAGCAATTGGTGTAATTGCCTCCAGTCTGACAGCATGGAGCACAACGGTTCTCCACAGCATGAAGAGCAGAGTCAGTGTGACAAGTCAGACAGTGGTCAGGTCCGGGGCCGTAGCAATGCCTGCATGACTTGTTGCAAGGCTTGCATGTTTCCTACAATCGAACAGTTAGATACAGACATTAGATAAAAGGTTATGCCAGAGGTTATGTTATGCTCTGAAGAGAATGGAAGGCAAATAGCCCAGCCTGTTTCACCACTATCAGTTCTAACCTGACAATTCAGTATGTCAGTATTACTCACTGTTAATCCTGTTTTACTACATCCTGGTTTTGAGAGGATGTCTATGTACTTTCTTTTGTGTACTGTCACAAGCTAGTAGGCATACAGCAAACATCCGTGGTAGCTCGCTTACGAATATATGTGGCAGCCAAACTAAAATATTAATTTGGATCAGTGTTTTTTATTATTTCACTCATTTACGGTGGTGTGATCAATTAGTGTCTGTAGGCAGATTCTATGCTATCAATTTAAGCGAGAACACCTGCCATTTGCCTTTAAATACAATGGTTATGATACATAGAGTAGTACAATGACAAGACGATCATTAAATCATAACTAGGGCTGTGCGATATGACCAAAATCTCATATCCCGATATAAGAATTCTATCGTCTGATAATGATATAAATCACAAAACTGTAACATTTTCTGTAAATTCTGTGAACTTCGGGCAGCTCGACTTGCGGGAAGTGTTTCCAGCTGGGCGTCATGTAGCTGGAGTCGAGTGTTTTAACCGATGCATGAAACGATACATTTTTAGACATAAATTGTAATGCCCGCCGTTTTCTTTGTGAGTATTTATTACACGGCATGCTGCGGGGAAAGCCTGTTCTAACGTTTGAGTCTTTTAGCACCTGGCGGCTCTTTTTTTTTACTTCTCATCCGTAAATAATCTGCTCTTTCACGTGATTCAATTTATTTTGAAAAGTCTCAACAGGATCTTGAGCTTTATTGTGAAAGGTTTATGTGGAACATAAACAAGCGGACACGCGATGGTGTTACCGTTGTTGTTGCTAACCACAAAGCATAAAACAGGCGCTTGTCCATCTGTAGTGTGGTTATATTGAATATAAGAGAAATAGAGAACTTTAAGAAATTAATATAGCCACTACAGTGACCATCAAAACGATGAAAAATATTGCCGTAAACAGTTTATTTTGTGACACCACGAAACAAACAATAGCATAAAATGAAACGATAGACGTTTTTATATCGTCATATCGAACAGCCCTAATCATAACCCACCTCTTCAGAAAAGTACAGTCCCTCCTTACAGCGTGGATAGCACACTTTGTCCTGTAGCATGCTGCCCCAGTCACAAGTCAAGCAGCCCTGAGGAGAGGCATCTGCAAACACACATACAGGCACTGAGCAGATACCTAATGAGAAAGTGAATCCACGATATTGACAGTTTGGAAATATAAAGTACAGTCAGAAATTATTCAAGCCCCAGTTCAGGGTCAAAGGTGGTGGTGGTGGCAACCCAGTTCATCACACTGTGAGAACAAGCCAGAGTAACTGGAGAGACCCATGCAGACATCCACATATAGAAGGACTCTAGACTGGATTCAAATCCAGGACCCTGTGAGGTAACAGTCTTACCCAGCATACCACCATTTAGTATCCGAAAACCATTTACAGTCAACAGTCAGTCTACAAAATGAAAAATAAAGTAACAATTGAGGGTTCCCCCCCCCCCCCATTTAATACTACTGAATGAAGCTGTGCTGCTAGATACTGTACCCAGATCACTCGAGTGCTGCTATAATGCATATTCTATTTGTCCCATGTCACCACAGGTTCTCTGGAGGTCACCAGGTTCCTAACCACCTTTAGTACCACGATCTTGCTCTCATGATTCCTCAGTTTGGGAATCGTTTGTCTACAGGAAGAGTGCTTGTTGCTCCAAATGTGCTCCCTGTGCCTCCACACAGTCATGTCTACAAGCACTTTAGGGAGGGCTTTTGAGTTCCTTTTGCTTCCCCTTTGATTTTGTTTTCATGTGCCAATCAAGGTACAGAAACATCTCAAAGATGATTAAGAGAAAGAGAGACTCCTGAGTTAAAATGAAAGCAAATGGTCTAAATAGTTACATCAGTGTTACATTTCAGAAGGAATTTTATTTTTCTGTTTGCTGAACTGAAATTAAATGAAATGATTAGAACAAAAAGCTGTATGTAACACAGTAAAATAAATAACATGTAAAAAACATGCCTGAATGCTTAAAAATGGGTTTCTGTTGACTCACTGGTTTGACATTTCACCTCTACCTACCTATGCATGTCTGACAACTGATATGACATTTTTTGCAGATGTCGTTAGACTGATAGAAGCGGTGTGGGCAGCGTTCGACACACAGCTTGGTGCCTTTCAGCTCCAGCAGAGGAGGGGAACATGCCCTGCAAGACTCGGGCCCCGGTCCTGTACACAGCTCACAGGACTGGTGACATTTATGACACTGGGAGCCCTCCCTGTAATACCTGAAGAAATGCATAAAAAAAATGGGTTAAAACATTTCCTTCATGTTTGTCAAATATGTAACTGATAAAAAAAAAAAAAAGCTTTAAGAAAAAGTTACTTTGCTGCTGAAGAAGGAGAAACCACGTTACACCCTTTCTTCCTAAGAAACTTTGGTTCACTTCCAAAACAAATACTGTATTATCTCTAGTTTGGGGTCACTGAAGCATAAAGGTCTGTTTGCAGAAATTGTTTGTCTACTTGAGGTAAACATTTCACAAATAGTAACAGAGCTTTCTACCCAGTGGGACAATGGGTGACACAGAGCTGAAGGAGCCGCAGATATCCTGGAGAACACGTAAGGCAATCTCTTGGTGATGCACTAGTGCAAGAGGAACACACGTGGTCACAAGGCAAACAGAGTCCCAACATCTTTCCATCAGCTTCCTGCCTTGTGGTATACGTGCCATCAGGACACGTATTAACACATGTGCTGTCTGGAAAAAAAGCATACAGCAACAGAGTTAGCACCTTAACTTGGTGGCGTACTCACTTCAGAGAAGCAACCAGTACAACTGCATAAATCTGTTTAACCTGAAATTGTCAAATAGTCTTACAAAAGCCATTATTATGAAGCCAGCTGTGAGAGCACTAAATGCAAAAGCAAAGTCTATAACTTGGGCCAAAAATTTCATTAGTGATTAAAATGAGAAAAGGCTTTTTCAAACACCTGTAGAGCTAACAGTTAAAAGATAAATGATTCAGATTTGTTTTGTCTTTGCATGATAAATCAACTTTAAAACAATCAGTTTTGTGCTGATTTTCATTTATACCACAAATCACCTCTGTGTCTGCACATAAACCTGTTGAAAATGCTCACTGTAAAGATATCTGGGGACAGCACAGGTCTGGCATTCATCGTTGCCTGGCCCCTCACACGAAAGACAGTGTCGGTGGCAACCCTTGCAGGTGAACTGGTCGTTGTGTAGGTAGGTCCCCGGTGGGCAGGCCGTATCACCCGTCACACCACACAGTAACGTGTTTGGATCCAACACGAGTCCTCTCTCGCACTGGGTGCACTCGTTGGCGTCCGGCCCGGTGCAGCTAAGGCAAGTCTGGTGGCACTCTAAATACAACCAAGCAAAGCAGATTGCAACACCTTCATGTCACATTACCACATTTACACAAGAGGGTACAATAATCATGTTTTAGAGGTGAATGGATTTCATTTTAAGCAAATAGCTTATTTCATTATCACTCAGTTGTGAGTTTAGTAATTGCTTTTGGCCATTGCATTAACCTCCCTTTGTTACACATTTTCTGTTTTATTTCATTTTTAACGCTTATTCAAGCTTTAACATTATTCAAGGTAATTAGTATGGAAAAGAAAGTCTAATAGAAGGTGTGAGGAAAAAATTGGATGATCTCGCTTTCAAGGTTTTTTCTTTGTGTACTTGGTGTGGACTTCTAGTGCACGCTTTATAGACTGTTCTGTGTGAGTGCCATTCTAACCACTCCATGGACCTCAAGCACAGCGCAAACATTTAACTTTCTGAGTCTAGCTAACCTAACTTTCATGTCTGTGGACATTAGTGTGTGTGGAGTCCACAGTGTT